GAACGGCAACATCAATCAACAGAACGGCTACTTTGGTTCTGACCTTGACATTGACCAGTTCCTCAACCAAGATGCTTTCCAAGGTGATGATGCCTTCCAAGGAGGCGTCTTCCAGGGCGATGGAACCGACTTCAACTTTTCCCTGGACGCTGCTACGCCCAACGGCGGTGTTGCGGCTGCCAATGCAACCAACACTCCTAGTGAGAGCAGTGGAACGGAGGAAATTGCACGCGACGGCTTTGACCCGTACACTGGCAGTCCCGATCGTGGCCCTAAAAGGCGGCGTGTCGGCTGAACGGTGAAGAGGCCAGGTCGCCAGGGCCGCGATTACCCATTGGCTCCAATTTATGACTTTCTTTCAAACAACACACCCGGAGCGGCTTGCTTTAATGACACAAAACGGCGGGAGGTCTCTTTGCAGGTTTTTAGGGAGGCGTGGTTCGATTGCTCTGGAGATCATGATATCCCAAATTGTGCTTTTTTTTTATCTTCTCTCTTGGTTGGGGAGTGAAGACGACTGACTGGATGGAACGGGTTCTTTGCATCAAAGAGGTATGTGATGGAATCGCGTTCGCTCGGGGGCGTTTGCCAGCGTTGTGGAGGAATGTCTCCTCTTCTCAATATCAACATGAAACTTTCGTAGAGTGGACACGCGGGTTTCAAATCACACTGGATGTTAGACTAGACCGCCTTCTCAAAGAGCTTGAATGCTAGTCTTGATGAACATGTCTCGATGTCTTGAGCTGATGTTTGTGTAATTCTTGTCGTCTTGCTAATGGCCTTGTTTATCCACACGTCACCGACTGGGCCGCTTCCGGATGTCATCCACTTTTGGGTAGTCACCGGGGACAAGCCTTCAAAGGGACTGTTCGCGAGAGGTAGCCTGTATTAGGGCATTCACAGTTGATCTATTTTATTGCCATTTTCACGGCAAGGATACCGCGATGAGGATGCTCTGGCCAGAGGAGCAGCACGCTCAGACGTCTCGCTAAGAGATCCCTTCATCTACATCAAAAAATAGATTGCGTAAACTCGCCTCCGCTTCGCACAAAGCTCCTTGGATTGTCCTCCAGCACCAAGCCGCGGCGGTATGTACTGCTTGGGGATCAGCCTACCCGCCCTCCCCGCCCTCGCCCAACCGCGCACCGCCAAGCTCTTCCTCTGCTCTTCCGCGTGCGAGGAGTTTTCAGGAGGACCCTGACGGAAAACCGCCCGCGCACTTGGATCCTCGCGTCCATACCTAGGCACTTCCGCGAGTGGTACCATCCCCGAGCTTTGGGGCCGTGGAGTGGGCGAGGGCGGGCGGCTGGCTTTCGGGGGTTGCAGCGCCAAAGGAGGTTGTGACGCCTGCGGCCGTGGTGCTGCAGAGACACAAGGTCGCGAGGCCGTTTTGGAGCGCGTTGTACGGGGCGCAGATCGGGCACGAGGAGAGAATGAGGTTGTTGGCTGATCGAGGATGGAACGACGTAATGTGGGCCTTGGAGGGGGACGGGACAACGCCGAGGGCTGAAGAGGTGGTTGCAATGGAATTTGAGGGGGCTGCTGATAAGAAGGCTTTCATTTAGGGCTGAGGGTAAACGGGCATTTGTTTTTTGATGGCGATAGGCCGTGCAAATGTTCTTTGAATCTAGAGTTCAATCTTAAGAAGGTCAGCGGCGGCACAGCCGGCAGGGGAGGGTAATAGCGTACGGGTATCATGGCAATAAAATCAACAGTCCGAGACTGCTAAGCGCAGCTTCCCTCTCCAACACATAGCATTTCCAGGTCCGTTGTCAACCAGCAAGCGGGTTCGCGTGGATGGTAACCGTCTCGATCTTCACCGGCTCCTTGGGCCGGTTCTTCCTGTCTACCTCGACGGCCTCGATCTTGGCCAGCGTGACGGTGCTGTCGTCCCCAATGAGCCTGCCGAACACGGTGTTCAGCCCGTCCAGATGCGGCGCCTTGTCGAAGAGGATGAAGAACTGGGAGCCGTTGGTGCCGGGGCCCTTGTTCGCCATGGAGACGATGCCGCGCGAGGAGTGCTTCAGGGCCGGGCGGATCTCGTCTTCGAAGGCGCCGCCCCAGATGGAGCGGCCGCCCTTGGGGTTCTCGGGGGTCGGCTCGGCGGGGCCGCCGGTCTGGGCCATGAATTTTGGGATGAGTCGGTGGAAGGGGGAGGAGTCGTAGTAGTGCGAGGCGCAGAGGGCGAGGAAGTTCTGGCGGAGGAGGGTTCTCTGTTAGGGACCTGCTCTTTTTGCTCGAAAGGCATACGACGAGATGGGGGGAACTTACCTCTGCTGTTTTTGGCACGCTTTCGCAGAAGATTTCAATCTTCAGGTCGCCGTGTGTTGTGTGTAGCGTGACCGACATTTTGGCTGGAGGGTTTATATAAGGGAAGGTGATCGTGAAGCGCCTTCGTGGTCGTGGTAATGAGGGTGGATGGGAAAGTTGAAATCGAATACGAAGGAAGCTTAGGTTGGAGCTCTTGTTGCGGGAGCGGTGCTATTGGACCGCTGTAGATCGGGGCGGGCCCTGCTGTGGCGTCGGTGTAGTGGGCTCCGAGTGCCGATGCCAGCGGGTCTTTGCCCGGCGCAAGGAGCCTGGAGCATCGGGGGATCGCCGAGTCTCTAAGATATAAGCAATTTCTAGATTTTCGACTATTCATAGTTGAACACTCCGCAGCTCGGATCTCTGAGCCTGCGGCACAGGCCGTGAGCAACTTGTGTTCAACAGAAACGTTGCAAGATTTAAACGTCTATTACAACCTGTCTTGTGACAGCGTTCATACAAAACGATCCCCAGTGACGACAACGCCTCGGGTTTATTTCAACCTCATTCTTCCCCTTGCATAAGCGCCGATATCGAAGCATCCGAGGTTCATGTGTGAGAGGGCCACACGTTCGATACGAATATTATAAAACCTGCTGCTTCTTGAAGCTGAGGCCTTACAGCCACTCAACACGCTTTTGGTCAAGGATTCAACTGCGCCTCTTTCTTCAATACCAAGAGAAGCGAGCCAATATTCTCCGTGCATACGAACCAGCGGCTCTCCAGCTGCAGCCGCCGGCCGTCGATCCCCAACCACCGTACGCCACACCTACGAGAATCACACCTCAGGGCTCAGTAACGTCACATCCTAAGCTGCGAGGCTTTATTGCGCGGAACATATCCCACGTGAGTCGTACAGCCCTATTATTATCGTCTTCGTGGATCGGAGTGTTTGGCGGGCCGTCGATCTACCCAAGATTTTCGCAAGGGCTTCCTTTCCATCCTTGTCTCTGCCCTCATTCGGTGATTCGGGTGGATTCAAGATATCTCGAATGACAAGACAAAATGATTCATAGCAAGGCCTGCCGATGCTTCCCGGCCCATGTCTGTTTACAGACCGCTCAAGTCAGGCTGCGGGAATTCCTGGTTCCAGGTTTGCCAAACGGCGCAGCAAAAGCCAGCAGATCACGGGTAGGCGCATATTGGGCTGTTTGGACCTGGATACCAACGAATTCTCACCGAACGCCCTGCTTTCTAGAACGCAGAGTATTTGCCCTTTTGAAAACATCCAAATGAGCTGAACTCGTTCCTTCGACCGCTGCTGAGCATCTGGCCAGGCTTCAGCTTTCATCCTGGTCTTATTGCTCCAGCATCATCACAGGTCGCATGGCTGGTCCAGGGCATCACGTTGCTGGTCGAAAATCGCTCAGCAATACTCCCACGATGAAGGGTACTCAATCGAGAGACATTCCATGCGAAGCCGATCCAAGGCCATCAAAGCTGGAACATGCCCAAATTGGCCGGCGGTGCTACCACACTAACTCCAACCTAGAAATGCTCTCGCACGAGTCTTACAGTGTCTGTGGTCGTTCGCGTAAGGCCGAAAATCATTGGATTCAGCACTGTGATACCGATATCTGTGTTTCTTCGTCCCCTCCAAGATCCCGACCCGTTCGTGGCACCTCAAAATCATTCGTCCACGCGGGGAGGCAATCCCGTATAAGCTTAGTGAGAAACGTTTCTTTGACCAAATGTCGTCGGGCAAAGAAAGTTCTGTTGAGTGAGCCTCCGACTGGTTGGAATTCGACTCTGTTTCTCCCGCGATGCCTCCTGTTGAGTTCGTGCGAAGTAAGGCCGTACGTGACACCAGGGCAGGCCCATCCAGAAATTCTACAGGCTCTTGCAAGACCAACTTTGAAATGAGATGGGTTCGGCTCCTCGGGTGTATCTGAACAAAAAGTCCAAAATCTTGGATATAGGTTCTTCACGATACGAGCTGGTGAAAGCTGAAGAGGAGGTGTTCCGGTTTCCCGAACCTGCCTCTCTTCGAGTTCAGACCCAGACCGTGCGAAATTCTCAGCTTGGTTAGTTCCAAGACTCGAATCCCAGGAGAAGCAGGCATCCTTGGGGTTTACTGCAAGCCAACGGGCATCTACATACCTGCTTGTTGCGGTGGAAATCTCACTTCCCTAATCCCTTTTCCCTACGTCAAGATGCAAGCCCGCGCGAAACTCATCCCTTATGGGCATATCCTCACGGCCAGTCGGGTGCGTGCAGTTCTCTTATTCCCAACCTTCTGAGAGCTGTGTGACTGTCGCGCCATACGAGGCCATTGCGACCCGCGGGCAGACACAGCAGTGTAGCCACCCCGTTCATGCTTGGATGACCACCATCCCATTGTCCACCTTCTCAAGCAGCCAAGTTTTCCGTGGTAGGGACGGCCGGCTCGCGTTTGGCATCAGTATATAGCAACGGGGCAACGGGGGCGGCGTTTGCAAGGGCTCCCCACTACCCATCAGGTTTTGCCCCCGAATGCTATCAATAGTGCTCGTCAGAAGTGAAAAAGCGCCCGCCGACCCCCCTCTCAGCTCTCACCGACTCTTTCTCCACGATCCAGTCGCTGACTTTACGAAAGCCGCGTGTACACCGACTCAGCTTACAATATCTACATCGTCGCACTCACCTGAGGGAAACGCCGAACCTGAGGTGTCTTGCTTCACAGCCGCCGCCGGCGTAGGCTGGCTTGCCCAGCGATGACGGCTTTAGAGGGGAGTGGTTGCTATCCTGCAGTCCGGGCAAGGGAATGGGGGAAAATAGCGTCCAATGTTCCAGATCCGCCTCAATGCATCGACAACTGCGGTCGAAAGTTCCTTGAGAAACTGGTACCGGGCTTCAGAGATTCAAAATGGACTGAGGCCTGTGGGATTCTTTCAAAGACTGGGAATACGAAGCAGCTTTGGGATCTTTACTGCTGCAACTCGTCGATTTGCGGGGTGTTCCCATCCATGGGGCAGGATCGTGAGTAGAGATTTCTGTCAATGACCTCGGGCTATCGTCTGACAGCTTGTTAGCTGGTGTTAATTACATCGTCAATACCTGTCATAAGTGAGTTGCTACGCCCCATCACCGTCAGCTGTGTTGTTGACCCTGGTCCATAGCAACGGCATTCGAACAGTTCAAGATCCGGGACCGCCTCCTTTAGAATACGACTGCTCGGCCGTCATCAACTACGCAGAGTGTTCAAAGCCTTTCTTCCAGAGCGATTCAAGACCATCCACCTCAGAGGAGGGGTTTTGGGCCACAAGTGCCATAGTTGCGAAGCCCTCCTCAACGTCGACAACGGCCATGGTATCGACATCTTCCAGTCAAGCACTAACATCTGGCGCATCAACTTCAAATCAATCGCATAAGAGACGACCTAGCGGCAGTCTTTCCCTAGGCTCAAAGATAGCTATTGGAATATCTTGTGGCATCGTCTTGATTGCGATCATAGCAATTGCGATATGTATCTGGCGACGCCGCCCCCGCCGTGGCTACACTCAGAGCATCAAGAGCGAAATCAAGCACCCCTCACTTCCTCAAGCCAGCTCACCCACGCCCCTAATATCTCCAGAAGACTCAACGCACGACGGTACACATCATACCACACTCACGCCACCACCCCGACTGAAAGAACGAAATCTGCTTCCTTCATTGATTAGCACGACAACGTCAGACGCGGGGGGCTCTTCTCCAGGAACTCCAGTCAGTTATCATGGCCCAGGCGGCTTTCCACAGTCTCCTTTTGCCGATCCGGTGAGCGCCAGGCTCGCACAGAAAGGATACCGTTCATCGAAACCTCCCGTCTCCCCGCTATCGAGCAGCTTCCATGGAAAGTCTATCAAGACGGTGAGCATAGGCAGCGCAGCCAGCAACCGCACGACAACTACCGTCTCCAACATCTCCAGTGCATTCCCTTACCCGTCACCATCACGACCTCCCCGTCCACATGACACTCCGCTCCGCATACCAGACCTTGTGTGTCCCGGGCCGCCTCCAACCCGAGCACTCCCGCCGCCGCCACCACCCGTAAGCCCAGTCAGTCCCGTCAGTCCTGTTAGTCCAGCTGCGCTATTCAGACAACAGTCAATAGACGTCGGGCATAACGTAAGTCTGGCCCTCGCAGCCGGGTTCATACCGCCACGGAACCCCGCCAGAGGCGTCGTCTTGGAGAAGGATTCGAAGGACTTTTGTGACTTGACAGAACGATGTGCGAGAGAGTCCAGAGACAGGGATAGCTGGGGAAGTTGGAGTTTCGGCGGCGGTGTTACGAGTATTGGCACGAGCTCGGCCCAAAGAGGAGGAGCGGCGAGGGTGAATAGTCCTGTATTAGAAGAGGCTGACCTCGAAAGAATGGGCGGAAAATACTGAGCTTTTTCATTTGTTCTGTTTGTATGATAGAAAAGGAGGATACGAATTGTCTTTACTTGCGTTGCTGGAATATGAATATGGGTTGGCGGTGCACTCTTGGTTCAGTCCGGATCGGCTGGCTGGCCAGCCAAGGGAAATCTCTTTGTTTGGCGTTGCCCAAGGGCGGTATATACATACAAGCATGGCTTTATGTGGGCGTTGACGATGGGGAGCGCACATGAGTTGATGAGCATATGCTGTGGATGGTTACATGAGAGTGGTGATAGGAGGCGCAGATGTTGATATCAACGTTTCCCCTCGATAGAGTTGCTGAAAGTCTAGTAATGACATTACTTTAACGAAAAGACCGCAAATTACCTCTTCTTATTGATATGAACCCTCCTACCCTCTATGAACCACTCTGCTCATACAGTTATATGTGTCACTCTTGCGGACACCGTCAAGACCCGGCCTTCATACACATCTCTGGGCTCGCAAACCACCACATACGACCATACCCATCGGAGAACACGGGATCCCGTCCGCTCTCCCATAGTTAAGCTGATGAGGGCTGGAGTAGTAGTCGGGTCGGTGACGACCGGCGAATGCCCGGTGTTGTATGTTTTTTGGTGATGTTTTGCCCCTCTGTGGAGCTCACTTACACTGAAATGAAGCTCACGATAGCTGCGACTTGTGTCCACACGAACGTCATTTGGGCTTTCAAAAGTCGTACGTAACTGACACTTTGATTTTAAGAGCTGTTAAATGTACTTTTCTCTTTGCTTCCCTTCATTTACCCTCTCTTGTCACTATTTGGATGGTTGGTGGTGGCTTTGATATTGAGACCATATTATCAAATACGTCCTTAGCCTTAACGTATCTTTGTTCATCAGCCTCAATTGTGCAACAAAACTGAGCCGCTTCTACTTTTACGCCTGATGCACAACCCTCATTCAATTCAAGCAGGAAGGTCTGCGTAGCATTGCAAATACGATCACAGGGTAGTCGTTCGCCTCCTCCGATGGCGAAACCATCGTCAGATACAACACTGATTACATTGCATAGTCAGTAACACGATATAATGGCAATACAGCTACTAAGTTTCGAGTTGAAATAAACTTCCATTGCCTTTCAGTTCGATTGAGGGCTGGAACATCGCCATCGAGAGCATCAGCGGCGACAAAAGTTCCGAACCAAGATTTCTTTTGCCCCTGAATGCCCTCACCACCGATTCCAAATCGCCAATTCATGATCAATCACATCTGAATGCCTTCTAATCCATCGCTATATCATTGTCCGCCGTTTCAAAGAATGAGGGGAAGATTCACCACGTGACATCAGCTAACTGCCGGCGTCTGCAGCCAAGGCAAGCGAAGACGACGCTGAAACTGAGGAGAACGCCTCACAGACATACACCTTCTCGTCGTCGTGCATCTGTCTTTCTGCCGTCAACATCTTCCCCGAACCACCATGTAACCTATTTCTTTTCTTCTCTTCGTCGCCATAGATCTCTCGTGCATTACCCAAGCTGAGCCTGTTTCATCCTGAGGATGACGGAAACCCTCGCCAAATGACCCCGATCAGGATTGGGCAACAAAAACAAGCCCGCCAGCGAGTTCTGGGGCCACCGTTGGAACGGATGTATCGGTACAAACGGTTACTTCCTCGCCAGACGAGAGACATCGCAGCTGGTTGCCTTGCTTTTTTCCTCGTCCATATCGTCTCTTCTCACTTTCTCGTGTAGGCAAGAGACAAGTGACAGGTCAGCAGACGAGAAGAGACATGAGCAAGACAAGTCAACTAATATCAAGCGGCTTTAAAAAGTCTCGCCCCGCGCAGGCTTACAGGAAAAAGCAAACATGTTGCAAGCAAACACCACCCGGACCGGCCTTTTATCACGACACAGTGTCGATTGAGAAAGCTACATACGGGCATGCTTGCTTTTTCCCTCAACACCAACCACCAGGGCCGCAAACGAACAACGGCCCCCGGCCTGTCAGATTCCCCAATGATACGATCCCGCCTGGCTCCAGCCCGTTGGCAACGGTTTTTCGCCAGTGGTGTATGTGAGACCACCCTGTCCGGACCTGTCCGGGAGCCGTTCCCCGTGGTGATCCAACCTTCGGCGTTGGTGATAACGTCGGGGGCGTGAACCTGGACCGGGGCCGGCGTCTCGTCGGTCGGCGGGATCACACCTCCCTTGCATTGCGCAACCCGTCAAACCTGCCTATGAGCGGCACGGCCGTCCTGTCTGAGGAGGTGCGGTTGATCGACTAGCCCCATCGACAAGGGTTCATGACAAGCAAACATGGTCACCACAGAATTTCTATCATCTTGACAGAGAAGTGTTGTTGTTTTTTCTCAGTCAGGAAACCCACAAATCGCATCTCGCCTCACGTTGCGCGGTTGGAACCCGTCCGATGCCCGCCTCTCAGAGTTGCTTTATGCAACAGCCGTGAGATTGGCCCCGATCGTCAATCTGGGGACTCTGGGACGATGATCTGGCAGAATTCCCAACCCAAAGGAACCGTACCGCACGCTGGCATCCACCCCCGCCCGCATAGCATGTTGACGATCCCATCGGTGGATCTGAAGAGGAGCATAATTGCTTTTTTCTTTCTTTTCTCAGGTTCTCAGGTCAGGCCGTCAAGGGTTACCGGAAGCGAGGGGGCCAATCTGATGAAAAAAGGTTTTCGTCAGTTATCATATTCTCCGAACAGCTTCATTCGACCTCCCTCCCTCTCCCACTGGCTCCCAGGCATTGGAAGCCCACATTGTCGACCACCAGAAAAATAGGAGAGACAACAATCTCACATTTCTTCCCCCTTGCGAACCCTGGAAATCGCACATGGTCACGAGCAGCTGGCAATTTTCAGCTTAAGCGATCTTGCCACCTGAGGTAAAACATTACCCACAACAAGTCACGATATATGACGAACGTAGAGAAAAAGGAGGCACCGAGGCAGGCCGTCCTGCATCACAATCCCTTGCAAAAGTGGCTAATGGCCGTGGCCCTGCAAGATCCTGCACCAAGATCTGCCTCAGACGCTCCGCAGCCCTGCCGTTCACCATGGCAGTGCCAGCGCAGCTGAGATTTGCTTCTCCATGCAAGGAGCGATGAATCGTTCGATGCCCGTCTCACCGCCCTTGCGACGATTCTCGATCCACGACGATGAGATGACCCGACGATACGGCGGCTAGAGCGCTGCCCTGGATCTGCGTCATACTCTAGAGACATTCTGGGGATCTTGCTTTTGGTGAGACCGAATTCGGCGGAATTCGTATGGTACCGAGCAAGACTCTGGTTCAAGTCATGTTATCACTAGGGGAGTTTCACCGACTCGGCGGGCAGGGAGGGAGTGAGTGCTTGAAGACAAGTCGCCGCTCGCATGCCGGATTACGAAAATTCAGTTATCACATCTCATCAAGACTTGGGTTCAATGCGACAAAGAAAAAACTTTGAACGCGACATCGCGACGCGCACAACCACAACCTTTCAATTTCGCCAGGATGTAAGTGCAGGGGGACGACGGGATCAGCAGCGAGTCTTCCGCAGCAAGCATCAATAATCGAGATGGCCTGAGAGATAGTCACAACCGCTTCACGAGAACAACAAGAGCCCTTGGCACATGATAGTTCAGAACTCGTCACCCGAGAATCTCGGGTCGATGACTCGCAATGGTTGCTTTGCCTACGCTCGTGCGATCATCGTAGCATGCTAGCATGCGCGCCCCCCCCACGAAAAGGCCCTGGGAAATCGTTGGAGATCATCTCCAAGAAGCGCCGCACCTGGGGGGCGCTTCCAGAGCATGCATCACCGCGTGACCTCTCTCTCGAACATCCCCTCGCCCCAGCCTCCCACAATTCTAGCAACCGCGTGCGCATCTGCGAGATCACCCGACTCCATCGAGCGACGTCAACCGATCTCGGCCGCGTTGACAGTGGAGACCGGCATCTTCACTGATGACGATCGGCACGCTCCGGCTCGGCAACCACGGCGTGAAGTCGGTCTTGGCTCGATCCGCCCGTCCGCCCGGCCGAAGCCAGCCGGAGACCCCACCGCGCAAGCACAGCAAAGCAGAGCAAGCAAGCAAGCAGCGTTGTTATCCGGTGTTTGATGTTGGACAGGACACATGCTTGCCCACTGACCCATCTGTGCTCTTGCAGCTTGCTTGCTTGCGCGCGCGGGTTACTCCAGCAATCCATCTTTTTCCCGCCCGTACGGGTTGTTGGCCACGAGTTGGTCCAGTCTTCGGTGGATTCGAGAGATCGGAAACCTAGCGGACCTGGAAAGAAATCCCCCCGCCCCCATCCTCCGACTTGAGATGAAGCTGTCTCACGGTGCATCTCAGACCCGAGTTGTTGCATTAGCTGGTAGGAAGGGCCAGCTGGCTGGTCCAGCCCATTCTTTGTTCCCGCATCCCTCCCAAAAGCAAATCATCGGCTTAAACTTGATGACAGAAGCCGTCAAACGAACGTTTGCCATGCAAACCCACCGACAAGCTTCGGATACGGATACACTGCCACGAACACAGCCAATGGGATTAGGGAGGTTCCCTGACACGGTTTGGAGGAGGGGGGATGTGATGCCAAGCCGTCGCAGCACATGAACCTCAACAGCAGCTACTGCGCTGGATGGGAGGCTGTTTAGTCTGTATGGGATGGGAAGAAACCAGAACTGGGGCTGATGAACCAAGATCTGGCACCGGAAAGCAAGCCGCCAGAGCAAAGATTGTGTGTGATGTCGTTTTTGGAGGTGTTCGACCTGAGACAACGCCCGTCCGAAACGGCCTAGCATGGCTGTTGTGTGGTCGTCAACGGTGGCTGCCACAATAACTTTGTCATGGTTTCCTGTCTTAGTGGTGCTTCTTCGGTCATGGCTTGCGAGAAGGAGACTCGACTCAGCGTCTAGGAAAACACCATTCACAGTGGGAAAAGCCAGGTCAGCCAGCAAGCCAGCCGGCGTGGTCGCCACCCCTTACTCAGACTAGTGGGTGGGATTTTCTGTGGATTATTGAGAT